TAACAATTATTATATAGTACGTAACTAAGTAGTACGTACTTACTAAAACTAAAACTAAACTAACTATTATTTATTGTATTAATTATACTTACTTAACTTATAATATATTTATTTTTTTTTTAACATTGATAATAAAATAATCTGAAAAAAATAAAAAAATAAAAATCATTGTAATTTTTAGATCGTAGTTATAAATTTTTTTATTATAATTATTTATTAAAATAAAAAAAACCACAAGTGATTATACCGCCACAACCCTAACTCAACTCCTTTCTCAACACTAAAATGGCCGATCCTTAAAAAATTGGCCACTAGCCACAAAATTCCACGTGTCATTCCTGTTTGTACCGACTCCAGTATTTTCCAAAACACCAAGGGACAATACCCTCTCCTCGAATAAATACTTAAAAAAAAAAAAAAACAAGAGACAGTGCCGTGCCCTTTCCAAAGTGGTTGAAATCTAATCTGCACAAGAACTAGCCGAACATGGCCCAACTATACAAGCAAAAAACACACACAAAAATAGGGGAAAGCAAAATACAAGCACCACCACATGTGCAATGGGACAAACAAAAACTAGGGTTTGGCTCTCATGTGTGTCCTATCTTGAAATAGGAATAAATATTTACCACATTTTCTCTAAAGATTTACATGATTATCTTTTCAAGACAATTTTTTTTTTGTCGTTTATTTTAGAAAAAAATATTTGGTTTGTCGGCCGATTCATTCGTTTGCCTCGGTTCTTGAGAGATTTAGGAGCATCCCAAATCACTGTGGATCTGTATTTATGCCTTCGATCCTTTAATTTTAAGCTCCATAAAATAAAAATATAATACTCTCTTAAAAAATTAAAAATAATAAATAATATATAAATAGGCTATGTTAAAACCAACATCTATCTTATTTTTAAGATTCATATTTGTGGTGATCTAGATGTCAGACATGTAAAATGTTGATCTTAAAAATTAAAAGGAGCAACCAAGTAAATTTGGAATTGAATCAACCAAAAGTCCTTTTGGGATAAGTAAAGGAAAAATATATAATAAGATTATTTATCTTTAGTACAAGTTGGTCACAATTAATATTCACTATTAAATGTAAAATTAGATAGCAGCATTTATTCCATTGACTAAGCTCAAGCTTCAAAAGAAATTTTCTGGAATTTTATGATACGCTCATGTTATCATATTTATCATCGAATGATTGTAAGTAATTGTGACATCTTGTATCAAAGGTAAATGGTCTCATTGTATACAATCCCGTAAGTAAATTGCTTGCCTTTTTTTTTTTCATAGTATCATTCAAATTTTGGAGATGTAATCTTTTCAATAATAGACTTAACTCTCCACCATCCAACATTGATCAAAGGTTGGATAAATTTTTTTTTTTTAACAATCTGGACGACTTAAAATTGTAAGCGTGTATAGTTTTAAACAATGCGTATCTAATACAAGTAACACAAAAATATTTTATATAAAATAAACTAACCAAACTAACCCTAAATTTGATTGGATATTTTTGTCTATTTATTTTATCCAAAATACTTTTTTGTTATTTTTATCCGATGCGTTTAAATTTCAAGTTGATTCAATTAAAATACGAATTACATTCTCCACTGTCCCATCAAGATCAAACAATGGAGATTCTAACCTAAATTATATTATAGGTGAAAACCTTTGGGAGAATAAATTCAGAAAGGATGTATTTGAGATAGAGAGTTACACTGCAATTTGTAAAGGATGAGGTAATAAAATTGTTACTGATTCTCAAAAAGGAAAGAGAGATATATTTGAGATAGAGAGTTACACTGCAAGAACCAAGAGAGAAAACGCCACACTTTAGAGAGAGAGAGTCTCTTGAAATAAAACGGCAAGCAAGTATTTACGGGAGTACTCTACAGTATTCAAATTTTTAGATATGTAACCTGACCACCCTAAAAATAAAAAGAAAAATAAACTAAAATTACATAAGTACTCCTTGAAAAATAACGCCCTAGGGTTAAATAGGAACTCTAATTTTGATTTTATATATATATATATATATATGAAAATATACTCGTTTTAAAGTGGATCTCAAAATTATGAAAAAGTCCTCCTAATTAGGCTTTTTTTTTCTAACAGAATATGATGGTGTTGGTGATGATGATCTAATAAAGTATAAGTATGAAATGTGCTCTAACAAAAGTACTCTATACGTTCTTGACTAAAAGAGAGAGACAGATAGGTAAAGCATAATCAACCTTAGGTTTCAACTAATGTTTTAAAAAACAGATCAATGACCTTGATCGCTCATAGATAAAATCAGGCTGGACCAGCGATCTATCTTAGTGAATCACCAATAAAAATTAGAAAACAATTTTTTTTTTTTTTTAAAAAAAAGCTGAGTAAGGTCGGCTGGTTCCCTGACAAAACTAGCCAATATGGTTGAAAACCGGCCAATTCTCTATACATAGTGGGAATCATACTAGTCCTACCAATTCTCGATCTAGATTAGGTGATGTGATGCATACTTTAAAACCGGCCAATGCCTAGTGTTTGAAAGCCGGCCAATTCCTACTAGGAACCGGCCAATTCCCTATACATGGTGGGAATCAGACCAGTCCTACCAATTCCTGACCTGGATTAGGCGATCTAATCTATATTTTAAAACCCCGATGTCTACTGAGTGGTAGAAACATACGTTTAAATCATCATCATCATCATAGCCTTTTCTCAATTATTTGGGATCGGCTACACGAATCCTGGTATACTTCAAGATTCATAGAAATTTTTGACAAAATTTTACGTTGGCTGCCTATCTAACACAATCCACCACTTTTATCCGTTTTTTTTATGGGTTAAAAGAAAGTTTAAAGTCCTCACCCTTCTTAGACCTAAACAACTATTTTTAAATGACGGAGATGATGGGTCTGAACCTTTCAAATTTGTCCGAAACAACCCAAACTACCTTAAGAATATGTATGAGCATAACATTGTTGTAAATTATCCATAAGGTTGTGTCCCAATTAAGCTTAAAAAGCAAATACAAAATTGTGGGTTATCTCATAATTAGTGCAATGATATTTTAATATATTTTTACCATTGCATGAAAAGCTTGAAAGCTCATCAATAACGCAAAAGACACGGTACGGAACCTAGGAATCATGCTAGGAAGCAACCGTGCCCACTTTAACTACAACAGGCCAAGGGGTTAGCCTTCCACACTAATCTTTATTATTTCATAATATATATATATATATATATATATATATATATATATATATATATATATTAGTTAG